AAAACCCCAAATCTATTCACACAGCTTTTCTAACAGGAAGATGACTTATTCTGCAGCAGAGCTGCTGGGACCTGCTCTCCCTCCCTGCCCTCCCAGCTCACAGGCAGAGCTGGACTGAAGCAGACTCCAGCTCACACCATGTCAAGGCCAAGGAAGGAGGCACAGGTTAACAGCTTCTCACTGCACCCACAGCGAGCCACGTCTGCCCAGTCAGAGCCCAATTACAGGGCTGTGGGCAGAGCTGCTCCCACAGGCTCTCAGCAAAAAGCCAAGGCAAACACACGAAGGAAGTTCCCTGTTGGCACCCAAGTCTGTCCCTGCTCAGCAGCACTACAAGGGAAGAGGGTTTGACACCTCAAACTGCAGCATGAGCAGCACAGGGCAAACCAGGCCACTGCCCCCTGGTACCAAACCCCACAGAGCGAGGGGAGGGTCCCCTCCCCATCCAGGGGCTGCAGCTCTCCTGCACACCCCACCAAAGCACATCAGGGGCTGCTGCTCACCCGAGGCTTCCCTCACCCCTCCCACCAAGCCTTTAGTGCCTGTGGAGCTGCAGTTCCTGTCAGCAGGCAGGGATAAACAGCTTCCTACCCACCCTGGCTCGCACAGGGCCTGGGCCTTGCAGCAGTGCCCCAGATCAACCTGGGGAGACCAGCCAAGCACAGGAGTGCTCCTCCAGCAGAGCTCATCCCAGCTCGGAAAACAACGGGGAGGGGGTGGGCAGGGGGAGACAGCTCCAGAGCACAGCCAGGCCCAAGTCCAGCGGAGAGGTTTATTGGCAGCTGCTCTCAGACGTTGTGTCTTCCAGCCCAGTGGGGCTGCAGGGGGGGAGGAAACACTGATTGCCCACGAGCACAACCCTCATGTCATTCCCATTGATCCGCTGAGTCACTCCCGTATTAACAGTTTTGACAACACCCGGGCTGCACAGGAGCTCTGACACGGAATACAAAACGAGGGACACTGTGAAGCTGCTCAGGAGAGTGGTGCCCAGGAAGCTGCTGAGCTGCCAGGGCACACAGCTCCATCCAGTGTGCCCGGGGAAGCTGCTGGACACCAGGTCTGCCCTGCAAACCATCACCAGCTGCACCCCGAGGATGCAGGGGCAAAGCAGAGCAGCTGCTGCTTTGGCAAAGGAGCCACACAAGTGATTTTGAAGTGATTTATAAGGCCTCACAGAGCTGTCAGCTAATGAGGAGGAGATCAAACCCTAAGGCACAAGAGGGCAGCCACCTCTCCAGGCTGAGGGAGCTGAGCCCCCTCCAGATCTGATGTTACCACAGACCTGAACATGCTGGTGTTGGACCAGTCAGCAACACAACCCTCCCAGCACCCCAGAGCTGCTCAGGAGTGATAAAACACTGACCAAACAACGTCCCTATCTGCAACATACCAAATTAAAACAAAACCAACAAATCTTTGGCAAGTTCCTCACAGCAGCCAAGCCTATCCTACCACAGCAAAGGCTCCCCATGGAGGCCTCCTGCCCTAATTTGCAGCAATTCTTTGTCAGACCACTGGCAAACACCAAACGTTTGCTCCAATCTGTTACATAAGGCCCAATTTTTAAACCTGTGTGCTGGCCGTGGGGAGATGGGGGCACACCATGTGTGGCAGCCTGACAGGGCAGCCTGGCTGGCAGGTGAACTCACACACTCCTCAGAATGCACTTCCACACCTCCAACCACTTGTTGTGTGGAAGGAAAACAAACAGATTAGTTCAGGAGGCAACTTCCAAAGGTTTTACACACCTTTCAACCTGGGTCCACGCTAACTTGAACAGTTTGGAATGGACTGATAGCATGGTAACTCAAAAGGGGTTTGTGAAACTTTGCTTTTTAACTTTAAAACACACCAAACACGGCAAGTCTTCAATGTTGCCCAGCGCACGAAAGAAAAGGCACCTTCCTGACCATCCCCACAACTTCCCGTTGTATGCTCCCTTAGATGCAGACCCAGCTCCCTCCTGCCAGCCACCACAGGAGCCACGGGCAGAGCAAACCTCATTTGCAAACCTCAGACCAGCTCAAGTCGGCTCCTGTCTGCTGGGGGCAGGAGGGGGAGGGCACTTTTCCCTTTTCTCACATTCATCCTCACCCGCTTCGCTGGAGAAAAAAAAGCCGTTTTAAATACCAGCTTCAGCACGGTCCTTTCCCCAAATAAACACTTCCCAAGGCCTCTGGAGAGAGGAAAGCCACATACAAAGGAGCCAGCATCCTGCGAGGCCGGGGGGACTCGGCGGGGTCCATCCGACCCCATCCCCGCCGCCCATGGGCCTGGGGGGGCTCTCACCGCTTCCCCAGGGCCACCAACCGGGGACAGCCGGGAGGGGACGGGGCGAGGCGACCCTGGGCCCTCAGATCCCGGCCCGGCCCGACCTCAACGCCTCCCCCAGCCCCCGATCCCAGCCTGGCCCCCACAGCCCCCCAACCTCCCCCGGCCCAGACCGACTCCCCTCAGCCCCACCACCCGGCCGCCTCCCCAAACCGAGCCGGGGCTTCCCCCGGTACCCTCAGAGCCCCTTCCCCTCTCCGGGCCGCTCAACCCCCCCCTTCCACCGCCCCGGCCCCACCGCCCCGCCGCCCCCGCCCGCGGCGCCGCCCGGCCCGGCCGCCTCTCCCCGGTGCCGCCCGAGCGGAGCCGAGGCCGCAGGGCCCCCGCCGTCCCCCGGAGCTCCCCCGGCGTTACCTCGGCGGTCCCTCAGCGCCGGGCGGCGGCGCCGCTGCCCCGCGGCCGCTCCCCCATGGCGGCGCCCCCGGCCCGGCCCCGCTCGCCTCCCCTCCGCCGCTGCGCCAACGGCGTACGGCCCGCGCTGCGCCAACGGCGTACGAGCCCCGCCGCGCCCGTGCAGACCCGCGCGCCAGCGGCGCAATCGCGCTTCGTGAATACGAGCAGCGGGGCGGAGCGCGGCGCAAGCGCAGCGGGAGCGAGGGTGGCGGCGCAGCGGCGCTGGCGTAAGGCGCGTTCGGGAATAGCGGGCGGCAGGCGGCGGCGCGGCTTTGCGGCAGCGCCGCGCGCTTTACGGCAGCTCCGGTTAACCCCTCGCTGCCCGGCGCCGCTGTCGGGACCGGCGCCGCTGTCGCGATATGGATGTCGCCGTCCTCCCGGTGGGGCACGGGCCTGTTGCAGGGAGCAGCAGCATGGGGGGTGCGGACCCAGTTATAGGGGACAGGCCCTAATATGGGAGTGAGCGCCACACCGGAGTACAGCCCTGGTTTGGGGGAAAACCCCTGGTTTGGGGTAAAGCCCCTGGTTTGGGGTACAGATCCTGTTTTGGGGTACATCCCTGTTTTGGGGTAAAATCCTTGTTTTTGGGTAAAGCCCTTGTTTTGGGGTAAAACCCTTGGTTTGGGGTAAAACCCCTGGTTTGGGGTAAAGCCCTGTTTTGGGATAAAACCTCTGGCTAAGGGGTAAAACCCCTGGTTTGGGGTACAGCCCTGTTTTGGGGTAAAACCCCTGGTTTGGGGTTAAGCCCCTGTTTTGGGGTACAGATCCTGTTTTGGGGTATATCCCCGTTTTGGGGTAAAACCCTTGGTTTGGGGTAAAACCCTTGGTTTGGGGTAAAACCCTTGGTTTGGGGTATATCCCCGTTTTGGGGTAAAACCCTTGTTTTGGGGTAAAACCCCTGGTTTGGGGTACAGCCCTGTTTTGGGATAAAACCTCTGGTTTGGGGTAAAACCCTTGTTTTGGGGTACATCCCTGTTTTGGGGTATATCCCCGTTTTGGGGTAAAACCCTTGGTTTGGGGTAAAACCCTTGGTGTGGGGTACAGCCCTGTTTTGGGGTAAAACCCCTGGTTTGGGGTACAGCCCTGTTTTGGGGTAAAGCCCTTGGTTTGGGGTAAAACCCCTGTTTTGGGTTAAAACTGCTGTTTTGGGGTACATCCCTGTTTTGGGGAGCATCCCTGTTTTGAGGTAAAACCCCTATTTTGGGGTACATCTCTGTTTTGGGGTACATCTCTGTTTTGGGGTACATCTCTGTTTTGGGGTGCAGCCCCCGTGTTTGGACACAGCCCCTGCTGTGGGGTACAGCCCCTTTTTGGGGCACAGTTCCCTCATCCCCACATCCATCTGCTCTCCAGGCCCTGTGGGGCAGCCTCGGGACAGGGACTGGGGGTTCACAGACAGGGGGACACGGGCTGGGATTTCACAGGAATTGTGAGACTTCCTTAATTTTGAGATTTTTTTGGGTTTTTTTTTCTTTTTTTTGAGATCACCTGCTGTGAGGTGTCCTGAGCAGGGACACAGACCCCACTGCCACCTCCTAAAGCTTTTAATTTCCTCTGATTGCTCACCTGGGGACAAACACTCCATCCCAGAACTCCCTCAGTGAAGGAGGACACAGCCAGAGGATCATTTCATTTCTTTCTCACCCCTTTTTTCTCAACCTCCAAGTTTGAGGAGGAGGGGACACCCCTGCAGGACCCTGCTGGTCACATCTTCACCACAGCATGGAGCAGATGCACCCCAAAAGTAATTTGGGGCAGTGGGCAATGAATTTGTGAGGGTTCAGCATCACCCCAAGTAACCATTTCAGCATTTCCAACTGCTCGAGTTGGTTTTTCCTCCTGTTGCAGAAATGTTCCAGGGAAAAGCTCTCCCCACAACGTTTGGCTGGAGGACTTTTCCCTGTGGGTGTTTGTTCCTACAAAAAAAGCTGATTTTAGAAAATTAAACACGTGAATTCCAGCTGCTCCCATGTTGTGGCCTGGCTCAGGAGGGTGCTGAGGTGCTGTGACACATGTCCAGCCCCTGGAGAGGATAAAATCACCCCTGAGAGGATAAAATCACCCCTTGAGAGGATAATATCACCCCTGAGGAAGATAAAATCACCCCTGAGGAAGATAAAATCACTCCTGGAGAGGATAAAAATCCCCCTGGAACCCTCCCTTTCCTATTTGCCCCATCCCACCCCCCACCCCTGCAATTTTGTGGTGATTTCACACACTTTGAGAACTCACAAGTTGTTTCAGGCATTTGGCTGGAGAATTGAACCACCCTCTGGAGGGAAGAAAGGAGTTTGGATTTTATTTCAAGGCAGATCTCCAGCGGTGAGCACACGGTGTGCCAAAGGCCTGCAGAGACACGAGCAGCTCATGCCACGGGGACAAGAAAAGCCAGGGAATTTCTGTCATGAAAGCATCCAGCCAGGAGCCCTGTCCCTCTCCTGTGGGCAAGAGACACTTTGGGCTCATTCACAAGCAGACAACACGAAGGGACCACTGTGACTGCATGGGAGAACAGGAGAATGAGCTGGTCCAGGTGGGCAGCACCTTCCCAGCTGGAACTGCAGAGTGACAGAAACACAGCAAGAACCAGGGAAAAGGAAAATCCAGGCCCTTACAGTGTCTCTCACACCCTGATGCAGAATCCAGAGATTTTTGGAGCTCCTCAGGGTGGGGGTCCAAGCTTGGCTACACAACCACCCCCATTCCTGAGTCTGGGTGGATTCCTGACAAATCCTGCCTGGTCCTCCTGCAGCAGAGGCAAAAAAAAAACCCAAAAAAACCCCTAATTCCAAGTGCCAAGTTCCTGCTCGGGTAACAGCTGGAGCAGGAGCTTAAAATGTGCCTCATGCTCAGATTTTGAGGCCCTGGAGCAAGAATTTGAGGAAAATCGAATTCAGCCTCATGCTCAACACATCAGGACACAGCAGCAGCTGTAGGGAACCACTGTCAGAGAGAGGATGGTGAGGGCCAGGCAGGGGGAACCTGGCACAGGGCTTTGGAGACAGGGAAAACAGAGATCAGCAGATGTCACATCAACAGCTGTGAGGGAAATGGCTCTTCCAGGATTAAATATCTGCCATGGAGTGGAGCTGGGGTATGACACAATATGATGATTTCCATACTCCCACCTGGAGTGTTGTGTCCAACTCTAGGGCCCCCACACAAGAAAGACACGGACCTGTGGGAATGAGGCCAGAGATGCTGCCAGGGCTGGAGCCCCTCTGCTCTGGAGCCAGGCTGGGAGCGCTGGGGGTGCTCCCCTGGAGAGGAGAAGCTCCAGGGAGAGCTCAGAGCCCCTGGCAGGGCCTGAAGGGGCTCCAGGAGAGCTGGAGAGGGACTGGTGACAAGGCCTGGAGGGACAGGACACAGGGAATGGCTCCCACTGCCAGAGGGCAGGGCTGGATGGGAGATTGGGCAGGAATTGTTCCCTGGCAGGGTGGGCAGGCCCTGGCACAGGGTGCCCACCCTGGATCCCTGGCAGTGCCAAGGCCAGGCTGCACACTGGGGCTTGTACAAACCTGGGATGGTGGAAGGTGTCCCTGCCATGGCAGGGGGTAGAATGGGATGGGCTTTAAAGGTCCCTTCCAACACAAATACTCTGAGATTCTGGGATAGCTTTGGAAAAACATTTTGGGCAATAAATTCAGCTACATGCTGAAAGGGCTCAACTCACCTTCGCTGTCCAAGCCCATTTACTCCAGGAGTAAGAGTCTCCTTCCAGACAGTAACTGGGGAAAGCAGACACCAGCACTGCCAGGGGCTCCCAGTGCTTGGGAGATGGACTTTTCACACCTCTGCCCTCCAATCCCATTGTTAGAAGATGGGAACAATGACAACACCTTTGGTCAAAGCTGATGAGGCATCTCTAAGAGTACAAACCACAAGAAGCCACTCACACCAGTCCCCAGCACAGAGGATGAGCCTCATCCACCAATGTGCTGTTCTTTTACAGAGAAAACAACATGCAGTGGGAGACTTTGGAGGAACACAGAGATTTTGCCATTTTCCTCTGCCAGATAACTCCGGTTACCTAGGAACAGACACTCCTCTGATGCGGCCAGTTCTCCTCATCAAGCACAGGATGAGCATTTATTGTCTTGTGATCAAGAGAAAAACACAAACAAAACCCAGAGCTCCACAGGTGACATGAAACATCACACACAGACACGCCACTGACACCCGACCACACCAGGAGCCAGGGCCGGGTTAATGGTGTTAAGAACTTTTAGTCTAATGTAAACATTTAAAAACATACAGAGGAGTCCAAAACAAAAAAAAATAAAAATTAAGCCATTTGTTCAGGCAGCGTGTTGGGTCAACTTTCTGGAATTACGGTTTCTGGCATGGAAGAGGAGGGAGGGGATGAGATGGAGTTGTCACCTGAGATGCACTGATCTCCACGGGGATCTCAGGCAGTGCAGGCTAACGGGGTGTGATTTTGGTGTCCAGCTCCAACCATCATGGTGAGCAGGCTCCCAGGCACCCCCTCTCCTTGCATCAAACATTTCCAGTGTGACTGAGGGTGGGTGCTTCAGCACAGCCCCCACATTCTCCAAGGGGAAAATCCCAAAGAGAAGCAGGATGTGGAGCCCCCAGCAACGCTTCTCCTCTTGGTTCCTTCAAAACCTCCAACTTGACACACTGAAATGGGGCAGGTATCAAATGGTTTTGAAGAATTTTGGCAAGAGGATGAGGATGGTGAGGGGCTTGACTGAGGGATATGGGTGCACCATGTCCTGGCTCCCAGGTGTGGCCAATCCCACCTTCAGCCCCGCTGACCCTCACCCTGTGGTGCATCCATCGTATTTCCAGGGAGTCAACGCCAGGCAGTTCTTTCATCACTCCGATGGCAAGCGACAAAGAACACTTAAAATTACACTTGACACTAGACAAAGGCACCTAAAAGCTTCACAATGCCATCAGATATTCTGTTAAGAAGGCTCCAAGAGCTCGACCTCCCAAGCACATTGCACACTCTCCAGGAAAAACCCCTGGTGTTGGGAGCACATTCCACATCCCAGAGCCAGTGGAGGGTTGCTCCTGCAGCAGGGGTCGGTGTGGCTGTAAACGGAAATTTGGGGAAATAGGGGGTTGCTTTTGCTTTGGCCCTGGTAACACAGGGGTCGTGCAGACTCCAGACTGTGCTTCCCTCATTATTTACAGTGTGACACAGGACGAGTTAGTGGGGAAACAGGGAATTCTGCAGGGCTGAGGGGGAAGCGGGAGCTCTCCTCTGTGAACCGTGATTTCATTAGATAAGGCACATGTAGAGAAAAATTTTCAAAAGACCACTTGCAAATCAATTCCACCTACCTAGGACCATGTCCCTGTCCCTTTCTAGGAGCCAGCTTTGTTCTCCAGTTGCTCAGTGCGAATTTGGGAATTTGGAATAACCCCATGGACAGCCTGCCAAGGCAGCAGGCTCCGGGTCTGATCCCCAGGGTGCCCAACCCCTCCGAGGTCTCCCAAATGGAGCACTCTGGATCATTGGCCAAAACTTTGAGAGCCAAAGACTTGGAACACTCACTCCCTATAAAAAAATTGGAAACTGACCTCCCAGTTTGGACAGGTTTTAAAAAATTCACAGCAGGCTGAGGGGGAAGAGGAAACTGCAGCCTTTGCTGCCTGGATCGCTGTAGGACACAGGGAATTGGATGGCTCAGGCACAAAATGGAGATGAATGACAAGGTGGAGGATAATCTGTGGGAAAACAATCCCTCTCAACAGCTTCAACGTCCCTTCAGCTGATTGTTGGGAGAAAGGCAGGAATCTCTCTCTCAGGACCTGCCAGCCACAGAGCCAAGAGCAGCCATGAGGACTAACAACCTTCCCTTGGTCTCCCAGACCCCACTGTAATATCTGGAGTCCAGCTACACCAGCAGAAGGCAGAACTAAACTATTCATTGTAACAGAAGTATTTCCAAACCACACTGGGGCTCCAGCACTGAGATCCATCATTATCTTGCATCCAGCACAAAACCTGGCTGGAAGTTACATGGGGAAATCTCATGCTGAGTCCCTGTACCGGGGTGAACGTCACCAAGGCCCAGTGTCAGCTCTGCGCTGGTTTCCACTGGGCTTTGAGCAATCATGAACCTAAGGAGATGAATCTGCACCTTTGGAACACACAGATCCAGCAAGAGGTTTTGGCAGCAGGGAAAGCAGGAGCTGTAGCATCACAACAGTCTGAGCCAGGCAAAGGAGGACTTGTGGGGACTTCCCATCTCAAAGGAGGACTCACCCAGGGCACCTCTGTTACCTGCAGGGATCCTCCCACGGAGGGTGGAGCTTTCACAAATCACTTCAGTATCACCAGTACCAAATAATTTAAGTGCTGCATTTCCCTTAGAGTGAAAAATTCCACATTATTCATCCAGGAGAGTAAACACCAGTTGCTATTAATGCTCTGATTGCTTTTGCTACAGACGGCGTGGTGCTGTGCTGGGCATTCCATGGAAGCTGAGCAGGAGCAGGGGCAGGAGCAGCTGTGGGAGTGTTGCCATCGTGGGGAAGCTGAGCCTTTTCCAGGGATGGTCAGGAGAGGATTCCCTCAAGCAAGGGCAGTGAAGGGTTTGTTCTCACTCTGCAACGAGGCGAATACTGGTGACTCGAGGCAAACAAAAAGCTTTCTGCCATGGCCGTGCAGTGCAGTGGAGGTGGGAAGGGCTGAGAGCACGGATATTCCACAGGGATCAGGAGGCAAGAACCAGAAAGGTCCCCGAGATGAGTGGGGTGCTTGGGGGGGGAATGCAAATTATCTTTTCCAAGAACAAGAATAAAAAGACCAAAAAGGAGAGACTCCAGGCAGTTTGCAGCTGTTGCTGCTTAAGGCCATTGGTTTGCAGAGGGGTAGTTGGGCACTGTGGGATACTCTGGCAGGCTGTTCCCAGAAAAATTGCTGTATTGGGCCTCCCTGCTGGGAGGGTTCCTCCATGCGCCGCTGTTCCACTCATCTTGAGCCTTCTGGAAGCTTCCACCAGCCCCTCGGTAGATTTTATGTACCTAAGGGGTAAAAGAGAGGACAAGAGGAGAGTCAGCTCCAGCAGCAAAGAGCTGTGCCCCTGCAGAGCCACTTGGCAACAGGATTTGCTCCTGTCTTTGTGAAGAGCTGAATTTCCGAGGAACAAAGCACAAAAAATACAGTAATACAGTGAACAGAGGTGCAGATAGAGAATATCAACCCAAAACTTGGAAGCATTTTAGCTGCATGCCCAGAATACAGGTGGGGGATCCCACAGCAAGGCAGCCAGCCCAGGCCAGGGGGTTGAAACTCTCCAGTACAGAACCCAACAGCACTGCTTCCACAGAGCTTCTGTCTTCCCTGCCTGCCAAAGCTTTCCAGAGAGTCCTACTACAAATCCTTGTTTCTGCAGAGACACAATTCCCACCCTGTCACCTGGTCCCCACTGCAGATGCTTCACCAGTGACCATCCCAAAGAGCAACAAATCATGGAATCACAGGATTGCTGAGGCTGGAAAAGACCTCCAAGATCACCAAGTCCAACCATCAGCCCAGCTCCACCATCATGTTCACCACTAACTCATTTCATCCACACATTTTTTGAACACTCCTAGGGATGATGATTCCACCCTGGGCAGCCTGTTCCAAAGTTTTACAATCCTTTCTCTGAAAATAAATGTTTCCTAATATCCAATCCAAACCTCCCCACTTTACAGAGCCTCAGGTTGCTCCACATGAAACTTGCTTTGCATGACACAAAGCAACAGCACCACATGACACTGTGACAATTTCCAGCCTGAGCTGCCTTGTGCTGTCTAGATTTGTCCTCCAGAACTCTGAGAGACATCAACTGACTGCACTGTGCAACCTTTCAGAGCAGTGATGCTTGTGGTGGCTGCTGAGCTGCCTCTTCACATTATTGTGATACACAGCAGGGATTCTCCAAGGCAGAGAGAGATCTGAAGAATCCCAGAATGGTTTGGGCTGGAAGGGACCTTAAAATTCATCTCATTCTGCTCCCCTGGCATGGGCAGGGACACCTTCCAGTAGCAGAACCTACCCTAATAATGCAGATGAGCATTGCAACTGCTGACATGGTGAACATGATGGCAGGGAACAGCATGAACACAGCAGCTGCCACGTTGGTGCTGAAGAAGGTGATGGCTGCCAACCATCCACTGGAAGAAACAGAAAAAGATACACAATAGTATTATAATCTGCTTTTCAAAGTGTCCTTTTTATCAGAATGTGCTTATAAGGCCCTGGCACAGGGTGCCCAGAGAAGCTGTGGCTGCCCCTGGATCCCTGGAAGTGTCCAAAGTCAGGCTGGACAGGGCTTGGAGCAACCTGGGACAGTGAAAGGTGTCCCTGCCCATGGCAGGGGGTGGAATTGGATGAGATTTAAGGTCTCTTTCAACCCAAAGTATTCTCTGTTTCTGTGATTTATAACCCAAAAATTATAAGGCAGCATCTAAGCTATTGAAAATGAAATGAACAATGAAGACAATTGACAGAATTCAATGCAGGTATTTCCCTGAGATCTCAACTGTCACTTGCCAATATCCCTCACTAATCCAGTTGAGAGCTTTAAGGGACAGCCAGCTGCATGGATTTTGGGAAGAGAAGACATATTCCCAAGGTGCTTTTGCTTGTGCATCTAGAGACAAGAAATGGGATCAGGGAACACCAGGGTCCTGGTGTTAACACTCCATCTCTATTCCTTTGCTGGCAAAAAACAGGTGAGACATCAGCAATTCTGAAACCAGAGTGTTAAACTGAGTGCTAAGACTTTCCATTACTTGTAGTTTCAGCAGGAATTGCTCTCAAGTCTCTGCAGGCAGGAAGTTAAAATGCCAAATAATTATAACACAACCAGGGACAGACACTAACAAGCTCCCATTTATTTTAGGAGAACTCTCACGGTACTTCTCATAGGCCAACAATGAGTCACCACACTCAGCTCACCGTGTGCTGCCAGCACTGAGGGCTGCTCTGACATGGGTCTGCTTACATGATAAAAGAAATGGACACTGAGGGAAGAGGCTACAAAGAGCAACCAGATCACAGAATGGTTTGGGTTGGAAGGGACCTTAAAGCCCAGGCAGGGACACCTTCCTCTAGACCAGATTGCTCCAAGTCCCATCCAACTTGGCCTTGATTTCTGCCCAACACAGCAATAAAACCTGAACTGTGCACCCCAAGAGCAGATACAGCTATGCTACTGGGAAAATCAGAAAGCTTCTTCCTCTCCACCTTGTCCAGCCTCTCCAAGTCCACGGAAGCAGCCACAGCTCAGAGCTCCTGGGCCTGCTGGAACATTCCCACTTACCACGCTCCCCATCCGGAGAAGCCGATTGCCTGCAGGACCGTGAGGAGGAACTGCGCCCCAAAGATGAAGAAAAAGGCCATGAAATTAAAGGAACTGTCCGACCTGTGGAGGAAGAAAGGAGGTCAGGTGTAACAGTGCATTCAGTCCATATTTTCCCCCATTCCCCGGACCCTTGTGACTCTGATCAGATAAACCTGGACCCCTCCTTCCTGCCCTGATGGGGTTGGTGGAGAGCCAGAAAAGCCCTCCCTGTCCAGAGCCCAGATAAACCCCTGACCCTTCCTGTTCGCCCTCTTTTCCCCTGCTCTTCCCTCGGACTATGCTGGACAACTATATCGGGGTAAGAGCCTCTTTTGGAAATCTTTGCCCATTTCCTGATGTTCCTCTTCTCAAGGCCTCGGATCTCTGGGCTAGCCTGATAATTTAAGGGCTGAGAGAGGGAGAAACATCAGTCAGGGGGGCACTGGCACCTTGTGCTGCTCCACATCCATGTCTGACCCCCCTACAGTGGTGACTCCAGAGGGTTCCCTCCCTGGCTGTATGCTGGGAGGCTTTTCCCCCTTCCCTGGCAGTGAGAGCACAGAGCAGCACAGATGGTCTCCCAATAATCTGGCTCTTGCAGTTGCTCTCCCCAGGGAATTGCACATATGATGACACACAAGGAGAAGCTCAGGGACACGAGTCTCCTACACAGAGAGTCTGAATCATTCTCTGACCGAATGTCAGCCCAGCCTGACACCTGCCCAGCTCTGCCCTGGCAAGGAGGCATGCAGGGGCCTGATGCTGGCAGTCAGAGGGAAAATGATCACTGAGCAGGAGAATTCCAGCTGGGAATGTCTCAGTGTCTGTTTGTCATCATGTTCCCACACCCATGGTAAATAATCCAGCACTGGTACATCACAGCCATGGGAGAGGTGGGTGGTACCCTGAAAGCACAGGCACACTTCCCATCTCTGCAGGCTGCCCATTCCCAGGATGTACAGGTGAGGTCCTTGAGTTTAGACAGGTACAATAATTAGCATGAAAATGACCCCAAGGAAGATGCTGACCAGAGACATTCACAGTCTCTGTCATGGGTGCACTGGGGGCACAGCACTGCCCTGTCACAACACATCTTCATGCCATCAAACCAGCCACATCAAGCACATCTGAAGTTCCTTAAACTATCATTTTTTAATGATACAAATGATTCCCATACTCTAAGGAACTCAAAGGGACAATGATTTATCTACAGATCTACAAAAAATGCTTCAGGTGCTTGTGAGGCAGTTTGGTACAAAGGAGAGTTAGGAAATGAGCTCCAAACACTGCCAGCCCCTGCTTAAACCCTGAAAGTGTTTAAATGCTTATTATTTTAATTATTTTTATTATGCTAATGATTGTTAATTTTATAATTCTAGCCCCTGATGCCTTGGGAGGAGATGAGGAAGGTGAGGCATGTTGAGAAGCCTCCAGCCAGACCCACACTCCTCAGAGCTGCCCGTATTGGTCCTGGTCTCTGTCACAAATGGTGGCTCTGGAACATTTGTTATCCTTGAGTATCCTCACACTTCAAATACCACCTCAGAGTACAGCATTGAGAAAGAAATACTTTAGGCAGGGGCCTGCTGACAGTGGTGCCTGTCAGAATCCAATTAACAAGGATTAGGCTCGAGGCTGAGCCTTCAAACAGACTTTTGCAACTCCGACCTGAAGGGGCTGGAGGAGTCTTCATTTGAAAGGATCTGCAGGAATTAGTGGGGATACAGAGAAAAGGTGATTTCTCATCCAGCTTTCTGGTGCAGATTTGCTACAGCTTTGCCCTAGCACCAAAGCTCTGCAGCTAATTTAATTTGGGATGCAGTGGGATGACAAAGACTTTACCCTGTCCTCACAGGACAGGGTGCCAGCACTGAAGGGTGGCCTCCTCCAGGACAAGTAGGGCAGATTTTGTTTCTGGAATCACCACTTGTGATTCCAACAGTGCTGTCCCTCTGCAGTGATTTCCACGCCCCTCCCCAGCTGCTGTCCCAGGGGATGATCCCTGGGCTCCCCACTCTGTCCCTGGGGTTGAGTCTTTTTTTAACTGCACAGAGTAACCTCGGGGACCTCTCAGCATTCGTTGCATAAACACATCCAAACAACGTTCGAGGAGTAATGAGAAACGGCCCTTGTGGAGCCCGGGGGAGGTCAGCAGGGAGGAATAATTTTTCCCAGACTTTAGAATGGAAATTCCTCTTTAAACAGAGCTCCAGCACTTGGAGGCCCTGGGGCTTCAGAGCTCGAGATGGGGAAAAACTCCGGCCCCACAGGGCAAGAGTTCAGAGCTGGGATTTTCACGTCATTTGGAACTTTGAGACAAATCCAATCCTCTTTCCAGCAGAAATGACCCTCCCCTGTACTCCACTGATGCCACTGCTGATTTAATAGCATCCAACATCCAGTGCCCAGTGCTGTGGGCACACAAAGCATCAGTTCAGAAGCACATTTAAACAATTAATTTATCATGGGCTAGACAGGACCCACCTGTCACCTCCTATTTCTATCAGCTGCTTTTGCTGCTGTCCAAACTAGCTCATCACAGAGTCTGGTGAATAATCAAAATGCAGAGTATCCTACCAGGAACAGCTTTACCTTCAGGGGGCAAACCCCTGGCTGGTGTGTGGGGTGTGGTGGTGGCACTAGGCAGGCCCCTCCTTTCCTGTGTCAGGCTGGAACTGCTCAGGACCCTCCTAGCTCTGTCAGGCTTTACACATTAATGTTTGAGTGATGCCTCGTGGTCCACAGCAAATGCAAATGATTATTAATTAAAGCAAAAATGTAGGATGGCTTTAAATATTTGTGGAGTTTCAGAAGGACTGACTCCAGGGAACTGCTTTTATCTAAACAACTAAGCAGACAAGCTCTCAAGTAGCTGGAGACAGGAATCAGAAGAGTTCTCAAAAACTAATAATAAGCCTCAATGAAGCTTTACCAAATTAGTACCTATTTTAATGCTGCACTGAGATGAGGGTGCTGCTAAGTTTGCGATATTAAAGTAAAATACTAATTTAACCCTCTTAGAAGTGCCAAACTGCTCGCCTCCAATCTTATGTGACCCTCAGTCCCCTGTCTAGCGTTTAGAAGTAGCCACATTTTGAAAGCAAACAAGACATTCAGACATCAGGTGCTCTCATGCCAGCTAGAGAGATCTCCCCCAGCAGCACCCCCCAGTAACAACCAGGGAAACTTCCAGAAGCACCTCCCGGGCTGGCACTCACCGAAAGGCTTTGTAGGCAGGGCGGAACCAGCAGACGTAGCCACAGGGGCTGAAGAGGATCAGCCAGAGGATGGCCAGGCCAAAGTTGACCCCGTAGCCTCCCCCGATCCACCAGGCCAGGCAGGCGATGAGGTTCACGGCCAGCGTGATGCAGTAAACTGGGGAGAGGGCAGAGGAGAGAACGTGGGGTGGGACACTTCCAGGATTTTGGGAGAAAAGGAAACAAAAGATAATGGCTGAGGCTGTGTTAGGGGGTTGGCATGGAGCTCAGGGAAAGGTTCTTCCCCCCGAGGGTGCTGGCACTGCCCAGGCTCCCCAGGGAATGGTCCCGGCCCCGAGGCTGCCAGAGCTGCAGGAGCGTTTGGACAGCGCTCTCAGGGCTGCTCAGGGTGGGGGTGTTGGGGTCTCCTGGTTAACACCAGGAGCTGGACTGATGGTCCTTGTGGATCCCTGCCAACTCAGGATACCCCAGGACCCCGTGAAGCCCCCAGGGTGACAATGGGAAGGGTCCCTGGGGCAGCAGTGCAGCTGCTCTCAGTGAGCCGCAGGCTCCTGTGTGACCTGGAGCTGGGAGCACAGCAACATCCAGTTTCCAGAGGGATCCTGCAGCACGGGGATCAGGGAACTCTTTTACAACCTGTCAAAGCATGGAGAGCTTAGGTAGCAACTGATGTGACCAATACAAGACTCAGGCCACTGTTATTATGAATTATGAGCAAGGTCTAATTTCCATTTATAGTAAAACCCCTTTGTGAGAGGAGAGGGGGGTGACCCTAGCCCTGCCCCACCTCTGAATGGCTCTGTGCTTGCTGGGGCTGCCTCAGGAGCTATCTCTGAGCCAGCTCAGTGCCTTGCAGGCTCTCTGCTTCCCTGGGCCTCTGAGGAAGCCTGGATATCAGCCTGGGGGCTTGGCAGTGCTGCCTTGAGCAAGGGGATAAACAAACTCCAATCAAGCTGAGAATATGGGACCACAGGGTTGGCTTAGAGGCCTTTTCACATCTCTGTTCCTGTCACTTGGATAAAAAGGAACAGTTGACAAAGGCCCCCAGGGCACAGCAGTGCTACACTAGGTAGCAGTACATGAAGGGATGCTGCTCCCCCATTTTCTGGGAGCTCACATCCCTGGAAAGGGGGGGTCAACCCCAAGCCAGAGCCTCCCCACAGCTGTCCCTGCATCCCCCCCAGGCTCTGCCAGGCTCAAAGAGGCCAATTTACAAGCTCCTATTTTGGAAAACTGGTGGTGACTCTTCAAACCCTTTGTGGTAACCTGTATCAACAAGCACAGAGAAAGGAGAAGGTGGAAGGTCCAAACACCAAAGGCCCTCCAGCACAGCCTGGTGATGAACTCATGGTGACTCTCTGGACCTTGGCCTCAGCTATTCAGGCAAAATTAAACCCCCGAACTTCTCTTCACCTGACAACACAGTCAGGGGAACAAAACCTATACCCAGCTGCTGCTTCTGGCCTGACAGTAAAATAAAACATTGTCTTAATGCAAAAAAAAATGTCTTCTGAGTAGCCAATAAAGCTTTGTACACAATGGTTTGGATGTGTCTTAATGTTAGGGAGAAGAATATGAGTTATTTAAATTAATTATTCCTAGGTATTTAAACTAACAGTTTGTATATTCCCCATCCATGGAAGTGTCACAAGCCAGGCTGGACAGGGCTTGGAGCACACTGGGACAGTGGAAGTTGTCCCTGCCCATGGCAGGGGGTAGCACTAGGTGGGCTTTAAGGTCCTTCTAACCCAAACTATTCTGGGATTCTAGAAATCTATGATATTTAATTTACACATCAACTAGCTGTACTTCTCCAAATATTCATTTTCAGAAGCTGTTTCTCCTCCAAAAGTTGCTTCTTTTAAAACACCCAACAAAACAACACCGAGCCAAGGGCATCTGCAAAGTTTTAAGGAACTTTTGTCTCTCCCTGTGCTTCAGGTCCGAGTTTGTTCTCCAGCAGTGGGAGCTCTGGTACAACCTTCCCCAAACCTCCCTCCACCTTAATCCAGAGCTCACATCCAATTAAAGTAATGAGCAATCACCCTTTCAGCAACGACTTGTGTGTTTCTACTTCTCAAAACTGGCCTTTTCTTGTTTACCTTCCTCCCTTTACACATCTCTCTCCAACCCACGCCAAAAAATCAGAGAGACCCCCAAAGGAAGTGCACTGCAGATGGAAATGTGAAACTCCTGAGTGCAGGAGATGGAAATGTGAAACTCCTGGTGCAGATGGCAGCTCTCCTGGCCATGCCCAAATCCCTGGCTCTCCTCCAGCCTGCCACTAACTCGACTGAGGGACTCTTTGTTTTGGGAGACGGGAGGACAAAGGCGGCTTTACAGCTTCGACATCGCACCAGTGAGTCTGGAGGGACAGGCAGCTTCTTCAGGCAAGAAAATTACAGAGCTCATTGCAGCAGCTCCACATAACCAAAGAACAATGGAGCCGTGGATTATGCCATTATTTATGCACACAAATCTCTCTCCTACACACATCCCGTGCATCTGGAATAAAAGCCACGCCACCAAATGCAGAGCTGGCAGAAAACAAGCTTTCCTTCAGTGAGAAGGGTAAAGAGGATGACAAGCATTTGGGGGGGAAAAAAGATAAGCAAGGCAAAAAGATTTTTAATCTTGCAAAGCATTCCCTGTGGTTTCCTAGGCCTGCCACACCGATTTCATTCCTTGTGGAAGAATGGTCAATTTTCATTCCTGGTTTCTCAATGGCTGAGGCAAACAACAGGAGCCCAGGGCCAGGAGCTCTGTTCACACAGAGTATCAGCACATCACCAGCTGTGACAGGATCAGTTCCCAACTCCAGCAGGATGTTTGGGGGGCTCTGGAGAGCTAAGGAAGAGCCAGCATGCAGCTAGAAGATACTGCTTCCATTGGGAAGAGAAATGTGGGGATAAGAGGGAATTTTGGCCTTTGTAGAGCGAGCTGGGGAGGCAGGCAGCAGCACATGGGCCACATTTATTTTGTCTAAAATTCTCCTATTCCTCTTACTTTAGGGGAAATGGAAATTTCCTTAAGGAAGCTATTTCTGGGAGTTAAATAGGGTTTACAAAAAGGCTGGAGAGGGACTTGGGATAAGGGATGGAGGGACAAGACACAGGGAATGGCTCCCACTGCCAGAGGGCAGGGCTGGATGGGAGATTGGGCAGGAATTGTTCCCTGGCAGGGTGGGAGGCCCTGGCACAGGGTGCCCACCCTGGATCCCTGGCAGTGCCCAAGGCCAGGTTGGATGGGTTTTGGAGCAGCCTGGGACAGTGGAAGGTGTCCCTGCCGTGGCAGGGGTGGCACTGGATGAGCTTTAACGTCCCTTCCCACCCAGACCAGTCTGGAATTCTATGATCATTTGACATGAATAAAGGTATCAAATATGGTCTGCTTTCTCCCTCAGATTTACTATTAGACTTTTCCAGCACTGATACCCTCCTTTCTCCAAGATACAAGGATTCAAGGCACAGAAACTTAAAACTCAGGTATAAAGTTATATCAGAATATTCTAAGAGGGACCACTGCTCCTCATCAAAACTTTAAAACACATTAGTCATTGAGATCTATGGGGTTTTAATACACAAATATCTTTTTCCAGCACAGGTGTTTTTATTCAACTTACAGATCCACACGTGATAGATTCTCTTCACCAGGAACTGGTAATCGATGGGGATTTCATCAGCAAAATTCTGGTAGAAACATGGTTTCAGAGGGATGAACTTGGGGAGTGGTGGGAAGTTATTCACCTTTTCTGGAACACAGAACACAGATTTCAGCTGGGAGAAGAAATGTGTTATATCCTCCACACCTTCCCAACACTGCTGCATGTTCATCCTCTCTCTGGACCACAAATATATTGGTTTTCTTCCTTAGCAGTGGACAGGACATTTGTTATACTACACACAAGGCTGAGAGAGTGGAATAGGAACCAGCAAATAAACAACATGTGGATTTAACACCTTTACATATCAGTGTGAAATTATGTGAAAGGTGCTGCAAAGAAAAAAAAAACTTTAAATAAGCTCCAGGATGAGCTTACTCAGGAAGGGGGAGGTGTCAGCAGCATCTGGGGGAAACAGCTGCACAGAGGTGTTCAGTTACAACCCCTCAGAAATCCACAGCAAGAGGAAAGAAAAGCTGGGAAGTGTCCAGACAAGCAGATTTACCTTCAGCCACCAGCTCTGGGTAGGCAGGAGCATGTCCTGGCCATGGGTCAGGCCTTAGGAGCTGTTGTAGCCTGGGACAATAAGGAAGGGTGCCTGAAAGCATCCCCAAACTGGAATTGTGTATTCAGGTATCATCCAGTTCATGGAAATAAATCAGAGTTGGGAAGGAATTCCTGGAATTCTCAGGGTGCCCAGAGCAGCTGTGGCTGCCCCTGGATCCCTGGCAGTGCCCAAGGCCAGGCTGGACAGGGCTTGGAGCAGCCTGGGACAGTGGGAGGTGTCCCTGCCATGGCAGGGGTGGCACTGGATGAGCTTTAAGGTCCCACCCAACCCAAACCATTTTGCTATTCCATGATTCTGTGTCGGGGATGATCTTGTTTTGAAAACACACAAGATTTTTAATGGAAAAAGGGTACATTCAAGTTTTTCCTGCAAGGTTAAGCCATAGGAAAAAAAAAAGGCAAAGAAGAAAAAGCAGTGCATTCAGAGACAATAAATCAGCAAATGCTGCCAAAAGCTATATGGTGAAGAAAACTCTACCTTGAGAAGAATTTCTGTTTTAAAATCAAGTAATTAAATGCCTAAATCCTCTGCTGCTGTCAGCTCCCAGATTTGTCTGTGTGTGCCTGGATGTGTGCTCCTACATGTTTGGGAATGTTTGCTCCTGCCTTCCAGAGCTGATTAAAGTTTGATTTCAGGGCATTGTGACTAATTGTCTCTAGCCTCCTTCAGCCCCAGTAAACAGAATTAAAAACAACCAGAGGAAGAGATGAAGAATGTCCTGGGAAAACCTCCAAATGGCACAGGAGACAAGAGGAAATGTCTGAACAAGAACTGTCAGCACAAGAGTTCCCCTTCCCTTCCCATTATCTCCGGCTGAGGAGACATTTTGCAGGAGCAGCTCCTCAGCTCCGTTTGAAGGTTGGCAGGGAAGAGCCTGGAGCTGCAGCCAGGCTTTAGGAAGGAAAAAGGCTTTCCTCATGCATATTTTCACACAGAAAATATGGTGAGAACGCCCACTGGGAGTACATCAGAAGTAGCTATGGAATAATGTCTGAAGTCACCAGCCCAATTTGACTTCTCCTGATAAAAACAAACATCAAGTCTCTTCTGCTCCTCCTCAAACTTCTCCCTTAAACCCACTTTACATTCATTCAGACGCTCTCCAAGCTGGTTTGTGTTACTGGTTAACACCACTGCTGACTCCATCCCATGGAGAGCTGATGGCCCACGGATGCTTTCAAAGTCCACAGGAATTTGGACTCCTCTGCATTAAATTTTTGTTTGCTGTAAACACCTAATGGGATTTCTCCTGCACAGTGTGTCCCTGCAGCCTAGAAAGGGATTTAACAATGCTGGATCAAGGGAAAGGGAGGGGACACAGCTTTTAAAGCTGAAAGGACAGGTCTCCAGGGAAGCCAGTAAGACCAAGATTAATCAAACACAGTAAAAGCAGATTCTCTGACTTTTTTTCTTTCTTTTCTGAGGGACGAGGAAACTTGTTCTGTTCCTTTTCAACAGCTGAAGCTGCAGACTGTTCCTTTGGTTCTGTTCTCTCCCATTTTCTGTCATGGACAGCAGAGCTGCTGCCAGCTCCCAGTGCAGAGCTCCTACGTGGTGGGGCCAAAACCAAGCAGCCACTGCAGTTTGTCACCTTTCAAGCTCATAAAATGGTCTCAACACCTCCATGATTGTTTGCTAGGTACACAAAGCTGGGGATTATACCTCTACCCTGCTGCTGCCCAGCTGCTGCCCACCTCCTCCCACCCAGAGACCCTGCAGTTGCCAGCTGTTCTGGGTTACTTCTGAGATTAAACAAAATAAATTACATTCAAATATCCCCTGTTATGTCTGACTGCAGAGCTTGGAGTGCTGCAGTTCTCCCATCAAGGCTGGGATCAACACATCTGATCAGCAAATGCATCCCATGCTTTCAAAAACCAAACTGCATCACTCATGAGCAGCAGCTGGAGTCAAATTCCATACTTCCTCTTATTTTAAAAAAAAGTTGGAATTTTGTTACTAATTTCACTGCAGGTATAATTCAGATGGACTAATGTAAATAGCACAGCTAGGAACACTGTGGAAAGCCTCTGGAAAGAAGGAATTATTCTCATGTACTTTGTTCCTGAATAAATTCCACTCACATAAAAGTTTTAAGCAAGTCACACCTGAACCTTTATCACTTGAGCAGGAACCTCAGGTGACAGATCAGGACACAGCAGGAAAGTGAATGTGACCAAGGCAAGAGAAGTAGCTGAAAAGCTTTAGGGATCACCAAGGTCTGGGAGAGGGACACAGGTCACATTCCTGACATGTTACAGCCACCACAGCACCATGAACAACTCTCTGAAAACACTCTCCCTGCTTGCTGTACCTGAGGTGCTCTTACCTGCCATTTCTAATACTTGTGTTCCCTGGTGAGGTCTCAGACAGAGCAATAGATCTGTTGGAGAAACAAAATCAGGTCAGCACGTGTCAGTAACCAGCACCCACAGAAACTCCTGGAACTGGGAATGTTCCCAGTGTGTGACAAACAAGAGCCCAGGCTTCCCACTACAAACTACTCGTGTCCATCACCTCCAGCAGGAAGGCTGGAGCCTCCCAAAAAGGATCCTGATTTCTCCTTGAGCACAGGAAGCCCTGGCAGCACCTCATTCAGCCACTTGGAAGGTTTGTATTATCCAGCAGCAAACAAATGTGCCCCTGGCACTGCCTGGCAAAGGCTGAGGATGCTCAGGGAGCCCCTGCCAGAACACCTGCAGCTCCCAGGGGCAGCCACACAGTCAGGGTGGGACCCAGCAGAGCTCATACATTGGATGAAGAAATGTGGAGATCTCACCAGACTTAATGCCTCATTTAGGTGTTGAGATGATTTGTTGGCTCTTGGCTCTCTGTGGTGCTTCCCAACTCCTGGAACAAACAGATAATCCCTGTTAGCTGGGCACTAAACTCCTGCTCAACAAAAAAAAAATAATCACCTGGAACCAAACTCAACACCCCTTGTTCTTTTAGAAATCCTGCACAAATGCAGATTCATTCTTCCTGTTGGCACCACTGAGCGTGGCTGTAGCTCTGGCAGAAGCAAATCCTGGGAAGTTTACCCAGCATCAGCCGTGTTGCTGATTTTGGCAGAGCTGATCCCACAGAAATACACAGAGAGGTCTTTGCTGAGTTTTAAATCCCAACCCTTCTTCCTTAAGGATAAAAACACCATGTGTCCCTACCTGCAAATCCCAAAATGGAAACACAGAACACACAAACCAACCCTGTGGAGTCTGACAGAAATTAAGGCAGTCTAGACTAAAATCTGCCCCTAAAAACACCACCAGCAGCTGCAGCAGCAGTGGGGTCAGATCAGCCACACTGTACCCAAATCCCTCAGGATTTACAGCAGCTGGTTCTGCTGCAGCTGGGTGCTGTCCTCCTGTTTGCCCCAGGTAAGGTCTGGAGGCTGCAGAGTTTTGCACTGGCACAGCTGTTTTCTTGGGTTGATTTTGCTTTTCTTTATTTTATTTGAGCTACTCTAACCCAGCCTGTGGAGACAACAGCACCTGAGACTGTACAGCAGCCTGCTCTTCCCCTGCAGAGATGTACAAGCTTAAACATGTTTGCAAAGAGGAGAACATATTATTTTCCTGGACCAGTCCCTAGGAAGCCCCAGAGTGTGGACAGGAGGCTCTGTGCCCTTGGAGCTGCTCAGGGATCCATCCCTGCCACAGCTGAGGGCTGTCCCTCAACATCAACACTGCCCAGCACTGTTTTGTAGCTGATGGTTTGGAAATGGGAGCCTTTTGCTTTGCGTTTTTCAAATGGGTGAATAGAAAACAAAGGATGAAGATGGTTAAGAACACCATTAAAACTTCACCCCACCCTTCTGCAGCTGCTCCCAGTGAATTTCAGGGGGAGAACAAATGGCTCACGAACACCAGCTACACTAAAGCACTAAGAGAGAGGAATCCTTTACTGAAGAATGAGCCTGCAAGTAAGGTTCTTCTTCAGAAGAGGATTATTTAGCTACTGCACTTCAGTGTTGGTGTCCTACAGCTGCAGAGAGGTGTTTGTCCACTGGAAAAGGGATCAGAAGAAAAGACTGAGGGGGACATTCCTGGCTTGACAGAGCCAGACAATGGATTTCCTGCAATGGCCAAACAATGGTTTTCCTGTGCCCTCCCCTCAAGGAGACCTGTGGTGCTGCAGAGAGGTTTTAACTCAAATAAATAAATAAAACCCCCAGACAAAGCAGCATTCTGGTGAAGCACCCCCTTCCATAGAAAGATGTGGTTTGGATCCACAAAGCAGCATTAAGAACAATTCTTTCAGCAAGGATAAGCACACAAGGCCATGTTTTACACTGGGTAATCACTTCCTGAGATGTGCTGACCTTCCCAGCTCCTGGCAAAAGGATAGGGAGCTTCTTCCCAGGAATGTCTTCCCAATATCCAAGCCAACCATGCCCTCTGTCAGTTTGAAACCATTCCCCCTTGTCCCTTCACAACACCTCTTATAAACAGTCCCTCTCCAACATGTAAATCAGACCCCTATTCACCTGGATATTTTCAGTTTAATTCAGAATAGGTGAAGCCCAACACCCTGCACCCACTGCAGAGATTTTCTTCATCTATAACCCACTGCTTGTGGAGGGAGAGAAAACCCACACATGCTAAGGAAACTCTGGTGTGAGGTGAGCTTCCTTTTTCCACTCTGCTCATCCGTGGTCAGTGAGTAACTCTGGAGTTCACACTCCAACGCACATGACTCAGGAGTCCACTGGAGACACTTGGAGCTTTTCTTCACCAGGATCTTGCAGACAAAATGCCCTGTGTCAGTTCCAGGGACACCAATTCCCTCCAAACCAAGACACAAACACAAACAGTGCTGTTTTTCCAGGCAGACAACAACACAAGGCCTTCGAATGTGACTGCAGTCTGAAACACTGCACCACCTCAGATTAGGGAAAAATTTGTGAGGGAACACCGGTGGGAATCTGCTTTGAGGCACATTTTGAGTACCACAAAATCTCAGAATATCCTGAGCTGGAAGGGATCCTCAGGGATCATCAGCCCAGCCCCTGTCCCTGCCCAGACCCCCCAACAGCCCCACCCTGAGCAGCCCTGAGAGCGCTGTCCAAACGCTCCTGCAGCTCTGGCAGCCTCGGGGCCGGGACCATTCCCTGGGGAGCCTGGGCAGTGCCAGCACCCTCGGGGGGAAGAACCTTTCCCTGAGCTCCATGCCAAGGCCTGGCACAGCTCCAGCCCTTGCTGGGCTCCAGGAGCTGTCCCAGAGCAGAGCTCAGCCCCTGCCCCTCTGCCTCCCCTCATCTCCTGTGCTTCAGCTGAACCAGCCAAGTGCCCTCAGCCGCTCCTCAGACCTTCCCCAGCTCCGTGTCCCTCCTTGGGACACTCTCCAACAGCTTTGGATCCTTCTTGTGGTGCCCAAAGTGCCCCCAGCACTGGAGCTGAGGCTGCCCCAGGGCAGAGCAGAGTGGGACAATCCCTCCCTGGCCTGCTGCCCCCAGGACAGGGCGGCCCTTTGGGCTGCCAGGACCCAGCGGTGACTCAGATCCAACTTGCCACTGACCAGGACCCCCAGGTCCCTTCCCACGGTGCTGCTCTCCAGCCTCTCATTCCCAGTGTGTCCCTGCATCCAGGGCTGCCCCATCCCGGGGCAGGATCTGACTCTTGCCCTTGTCACTTGTCACATGGCTGGGGGTTGCTCAGCCCCAAATTTGTTAGGGTCTCTCTGCCTTCCAGGGGGTCAGCAGCTCCTCCCAATTTAGTATCCCCTGCATTCCTGCTCCTGCAAACACTACTCAGTCCCCTAATTCATTCTGCCCATATCAAGTAGTTTTAAAAGTTTGCTATTTCTCCCTCCTGTTTTCTCCACTATCACAGAAAGGTGGCAGAGAATAAGTAAAGGCCAGGCCAAAAGAGGAGCAGTGACAGGGAGGTGGGAGAGCTGAATTCCTTCCTGCTTTGCCATAAATACACCAAGTGACCTGGAGCACGTCCCCAAGACCACATTCACAGGGCACTGGCTCCTCTTGTGCCCTGCAGATGTCCCAGCCAATCTCAGAAAAACCCCAAGCTTTCCATCCAACAAATCTCCCAGTTTCTGAGTCCTTGCTTTAGGATATTTTCTGTACTGCCTCTGTATTTTCATTCTGATTTGATGACTCTGCTCCCAGGCAATAAGTGACAGGAAAGAGGAAATGGCCTCAAGTTGTGCCAGGGGAGGCTCACATTGGACATTAGGAGGAATTTCTCCATGGAAAGGGCGGTCAGGCACTGGGAACACCCAGGGAGGTTTGGAGTCCCCATCCCTGGAGGTGTCCAAGGAAGGTCTGGATGTGGCACTCAGTGCTCTGGGCTGGGGACAAGGTGGGGATGGGGCACAGGATGGACTCATGACCTTGGGGGCCTTTTCCAGCTTTAAGGACCCTGACTCTGCCATGCAGTGAGGCCAAGAGCTTCCACACAATCCTGTACTCCAGGGATTCATCCTGAGCACTTTGCCAAGAGCAAACAGAGGGGCAGGATCCCAGCACAGAGCAGAACTGTCCACACTCCCTCATCAACAGGGATTTACAACAGGAACACAACTGGAATGAGGAACCTGGGCACACCACACGATCCTGACAGTGGTTCCAGGTGAGCCTTTGGGGAGGACCATCAGCCTACCAGGATTTCAGAATCCACCCTGAGCCAGCAGACCCCAGACCTTTCAGAAGAGCCTGAGAGGAACGAGACCCCTGCAGGGATCCTGGAGATGTGGATTTGAAGTGGCTTGGCAGAGAATCAGCAAGCAAACGCCTTTCTCGTGTTTTCCCAAGCTGAATTTAAAGAGAAAGTGGTGGCTCTGCAGTGGTTTCAAGACAAAAGGCTGGGTTTGAGCCTCTTCCAGATGCCCAGCTTTTACCAGGAACTTCCCAGAAGGCCCAAGGCAGCGGCAGCCACTCCAAAACAATCAGCTCAGCACTTTAAACCCAGAGCTGACACAGCCTGGCTTTGCTGCTGTTTCCTCTCCCTGACACACCACCAGCCCTCACAGGGTGGGACACTGTCCCTGCAGTGGCACAACCAGCCAAAAAAATAACTCCAAAAGCCACCCAGCACAACCAGGGAGAATGGGGAAACTGTATGGCAGCACTGCCCTGAGAAAAGGAGCAGGGGACAGTGAAGTGACAAGGGTTATCCTGCTCCCATGTCATTCCAGGAGGCTCGTGGGGACTCTCAGCTATACAGGGGCTCTGCTGCCCCATCTCCCCTCATCCTGGAGCAGATGTGGAAGCAATTCCCCTCAGGGCTCCCCCAGCCTGCTGACACAGCCTCAGCAGGTGGGCAGCAGCCTTAACTTGCCTATGCAAAACCCACAGCGGACAAATATTGATTTTGGTACAACCACATGCAGAAGTGAAGCACAGAAGCTCAGACAGCTCAAGAAGACAGAAAGCACAAAAACACCCGTGATTCGGACACAAGCCTGTCCCACCCCTTGTCACCTGCTCAGACTGGCCTCACACAGAAGAATTGGACTGCAGACAGCAGCAAAAATATTAATTAGCCCAGAAAAACGCTGAAATGCAGATAAATTAACACACCAATTGCTTAATTTCTAAACCATTGCTCTCTTCATCACAAGTCCCGCAAAGGAGTTTCTTGAGAGAGTTATAAAACGCTGAGACCAAAAATTAGAAGGGGAAATAAAACTACAACATCCAGGTGGAGGGCAACACGCACATCCCCGGTACCCGAACCGCAGAGATCAGAGAGGTTCACCCCGAAAAGCTCTGGAGCCACGAACCTCCCCGGGGGGAGCGGGGCCGCTGTGCCACCCTGTCCCAAACCACGGGGGAGGGAAATTTCCGAGAGTCCCTCACAGCGGATGGAGCCGGCAGCGCTCGGGGTCCCACAGGGGACCCGGCCCGGCTCCTCCCGGCAGCGGCTCCCACCGGGGCTGCCCCGATTCCTCCCCTCACGCAGCCCTTCCCCAGCCCAGCCGCCCCCGGAGCTGCCCGTGCCCGCTCCCGTTACACCCGGGCTGAGGGAGAGTCACGGCCCCCTCACGCCGAGAACTCCCCGCCGCCATCTCCCCCCACTCCCGGCCCCCTGCTCCCCTCATGCCCCAGGCTCCCCGCTCCCCCCGACCCTCAGCTCCCCCTCCGGGCCTCCAGTTCCCCCCGACCCGCATCTCCTCCGCCCATGTCGCCCCCGGCCCGATCCCCCCGCGCCCACCTCAGCGAGCGCCCGGTCCCGCTCCCCCCGGGCCGCCGCGGGGCGCGCTGGGAAACTGAGTCCCGCCAGCAGCCGCCGCCGCTGCGCGCCACGCGGAGTGGACTACAACTCCCAGCGTGCATCGCGGCGCACACCCACCGCTGTCATGTGAGGGGCAGGGAGGAGAGGAGGGGCGGTGGTGAGAGACGGCAGCCGGGAGGGACAGAATTGTGCACAGTACCGGGACTGACCCCGTTCGCGGGAGCTGTTCCAGGGGCCGGGACATGGCCGGGGGTGCTGGAGGTGCTCCTCTGGGCAAAAAAAGGCTCCAGGGAGAGCTCAGAGCCCCTGGCAGGGCCTGAAGGGGCTCCAGGAGAAGTTGAGAGGGACTGGGGACAAGGCCTGGAGGGACAGGACACAGGGAATGGCTCCCACTGCCAGAGGGCAGGGATGGATGGGAGATTGGGCAGGAATTGTTCCCTGGCAGGGTGGGCAGGCCCTGGCACAGGGTGCCCACCCTGGATCCCTGGCAGTGCCCAAGGCCAGGCTGGACAGGGCTTGGAGCAGCCTGGGACAGTGGAAGGTGTCCCTGCCATGGCAGAGGTGCAATGGGATGGGCTTCAAGCTCCCTTCCACCCCAAACCATTCCTTGACTCTGGTACAGCTCGGTCCTAAGAGCACAGAATAAATTAAAGTTTATCCAATTAAACACTTTGAGTGGTTAATTTTCAATCTCGCTCTTCACTAAAATCTAAAATCACTACTTCCAACATTATTAGTTGTTTGTAGGTTTATAACTTTACTTTTTTAAATTTTATTTTTTACTTCATAGAACAGACTTTGTTTTTCTTCCTGTAAATTTTGTGCAATATACATCTATGTACCCACAGAGCACACCTCAGTAAAAAGGTTGTCACCCACACACTGTATTACTTTTTACTGAATGTAATGAAAAATTCCAGCAACAGTTTTGTTCTTAAATTAGTATTTCTTCCTCCCCTGCCCTCCTTTTCTAAGCTGCCTGGTCTGAAAGAGGAATTTTATTTTGTTTATTTAATTTTTTTTTTCTGGCCCCTTCCAGCCTGAACACTTTTGTTCGGTTCTAGAGCTCCTGAAGTCCCTATTTTCACCACATTAGACTCCTTAATGTAGGAGGGATCCCTCTCCAAGGTCTCAGCTCTGCAAATCCTGTAAAATTTGGTGTATTAAAGGTCGGATTTAAATGCATTTCCAAGCGCTGGGGCCGTGCTTTCCTTCACTCCCAGCTCCAGGGAGTGGGTCAGGCTCATCCCTCCTAGCTGGGCTAATGCTGACTCCTCTCTCTGAAAAGTTGCCCTAAAATTTCCCCAAACCCCACTGAGCTGCCCCGAAATCCATCCGGATCATCGGCTCACAGGGAATATTTTGGGTGTGAACCAGCAGAGGTCACTCGGCCCCAGTAAATCCAGTGCTGCTGCACCAGTAAGAGAGGAGTGTTACTGGGGGACAGCACCCAAACTCCTGTCCCCTGTCCCATGGGATCCCATCCCTCCTGACCCCGCACTTCAGCACTGAAACCTCCCTGACAATTCCCAGCTTCTCCCTTGGAGCCATTTTTCCCGAATATTTTTTTGTTTGTTTGTTTGAAGAGCAGCTCTTCATGAGGAATTTTTTAACGGATTTGCCATGCTTTAATTTATTATTTTATTTTCTCCAAATACACCAAAGAAACGGGATTTTTTGGGGCGAAAACAAGACAAATATTTTTTTAAATGAGAGTCAAAATGTCAGTGTGCAGCAACCGAAGGGTCTGGTGCTCCCACATGGGACACTGGGAACCCCCAAAGTGGGTGATGGCCTTTCCCAACATCTCCACAAGCTGAGCCCTGTTTTGCCCAGGATTCATCCTGCAATATCTGAACCCCAAATGTGTGGGAAGCTGAGCTCCATGCCAAGGCCTGGCACAGCTCCAGCCCTTCCTGGGCTCCAGGAGCTGGCCCAGAGCAGAGATTAGTGCCTGGCATCCAAAATCTTTGCATCGTTGTTAAATCCAGGACATCCATGAACATCTATGTATAATGCTCTGGTGTATCTGTGGTGTTCTTTCTTTCCTAAGACTGGGAATTGTTTGGAAATCACTCCCAAATGCTCCTTGGCTGTCCCTGATTCCACCCCACAGATGCATCATCCCCCCAGTCCTGTCTCCACTCTCCTGCCCCGAAATGTCCCTGTCCCTCAGCTCAAGGGTGCTTTAGCAGCATTCCCCCATAAAAAACCTTCCCAGAGCTCTGCTCTCCCTGGGGGTGCCCAGGTTAGGGGGTGCAGAGGGGCTGGGAAGTGCTTCCAAGGGCTCCAACCCAAACACACACCCCCAGGGCACCGATCCAGCCTCCTCCTAAATAATTTTGTTGTGCATTAAGTGAAACAAGAACACCTCCCAGCGCCTGAAATTCACCTTTATATCCAAATCCTGAACAGGAGATGGGATATTGGGCAGGAATTGATCCCTGGGAGGGTGGGCAGGCCCTGGCACAGGGTGCCCACCCTGGATCCCTGGCAGTGCCCAAGGCCAGGCTGGACAGGGCTTGGAGCAATCTGAAGGTGTTCCTGCCATGGCAGGGGTGGCACTGGATGGGCTTTGAGGTCTCTCCCAACCCAAACCAGTCTGGAATTCTGATACAGCTCAGTCCTCAGCCCATGGAAGAAATTAAAGCTTTTTCCATCACTTTGAGGGATTCGCTTCCACTCTCACTCTTTGCTAAAATTTAAAATCACTATTTCCAACATTATCATATTTTTTTAACCTTGTGAAACAGACTTTATTTTTCTTCCTGTAAATTTTGTGCAGTATACATCTATGTACCTATAGAACACACCTCAGTAAAAAGGTTGTCATCCATACATTATATTACTTTTTATTTAATGTTATGAAAAATTCCAACAACAGTTTTTTGTCCTTAAATAAACGTTTCTCCCTCCCCTGCCCTCCCTTTCTAAGCTGACTGGTCTGAAAGAGGAAATTTTATTTAGTTATTTTCTTTTCTTTAAAAAAATAGAAATTACAATCTTACAAGACAGAACATTCAATGAGAACAGAAGCATTTTCCTAAATCTAAAAAGTAAAACATTTCCATAAAACCTGTTGGTATCTACAGGTAGGTGTGTGTGGAGGGGTGGTAAATGGAAATAAGAGGTCTTCCATTTCTTCCTTTCATTCATAGAGATAAAAAATAACATAAAACTGACCAAAACTTTATATATTTTTCTCTTTTGCACCAACATTCACAAGAATATATATTATATATATTTTTGATCCATCTTTATACACAGTGTGAGGGTTCTGTGGGTGGAAATGGACACTCAGCTAATCTGCCAGAGCAGACAAACAAACACTAAATTAATCTTGGTCTGGAAAAGAGCCATCACTGGCGGCCCAGAGCTGTTGGAAAGGAACATCCCGTGCTGGGATGGGAACGTCTCCGGAGCACCGGAGCCACGGGGGGCTCGGGGCTCTCCAGCCCCCTCCCCGCTGGCCACAGGGGAGAGGGAAATCTCCCTTTTTCGGGCATTTCTGCCCAGGCTTTGTTGTTCACCCTTTCCCTGCGAGCTCCAAGCTCTGGGTGGCCCAGCAGGGGTGAGGAACCTTGGCACAGCCCTGGCGAGCCCCAAGCAGGGGCTGCCATCCCTTTTTCCACCCCTTTCCATGCGTGGCATCCGCCCCAGGCCAGGAATCACCGAATCTACACCGAATCACTTTATCCCCTCCCAAAAAAAAAAAATAAATCATCGAATCAAGTCGGTTCCTCTGAAGAGAACTGAAAAGTGCAGGTTCCCGCGGTTTGGCAGGTCGAGTTACACGTGCTTAATACTTCCAGTCTTCCCTAGATTCCCACGGTGGGGGGGCTCTTATTGCTCAGAATAATCCAGAATCTCTCCCCACGGGATGGACGCTGTTCCCAAATTAAGGTGCTTTCCTGGGTTCTTTGCCAGATGAAATGAACTCGGTGGCGTTGACCATTGGTGTGTGTTGGGTTGGCTGACAAATGACAAATACTGAGGGCAAAAAGAAGGGTGTGTGCTTTTTTTTTTTTTTTTTTCCCCAAAACGTTCCCAAACACCCGCGGGCTGTTCCCTCCGAGCACAGTCATGTTCTGGGGGTGCTTTTCCCGGGAAGTGAACGGTGCTGTCGGAAATGATGCTTCCAAAAAAAAAAAAAAAGGCACAACCCTCTGGATGTAAAAGGCAGTACTGATTTCTCTCTTCTGTCCAAGCTTTGGAGAGGGCAGGAGAGGAGCTGGGCACATCCCCACGCCGTGGACGCTGCGCTGGACAGCGACACATTGGCACTGGACATCGCGTGGGGCCGTGGGAGTGCCAGCAGCTTTTCCCAGAGACTCCAACAGAGAGGGAGCTGAGGCTGGCAGGCTCCAATCTACCCCAGAAGCAGTTGGGATGTGGTCAGCAAACCCATGGGAGTTTGCTGTGCCGGGGAGGAACGCAGTCCCCATCTCCCTCTGCCTTCGAGCGGAGCAGAAATCCCATCAGCTTCCTGGGGAGTCTTCCCTCGTCGAGGTTGGTCCATGGTCTTCCCTAGGAGGTCTTTTAATAACCCCTCACGTCGCTAAAAAGCTGCTTGTTTGGTTTAAAGGGTGCAGTTACGAATCCAAAGGTTTTGGCTCACGCTCGGGGATGATCCGAGTTGCCCGAGGATGGGGTTGGGTGCACGAGGAATCAGCACAAAGCAGGAAAGGAGCTTGGGATTTTAGCCCTTTGTCAGCAAAACTGGGGCTGCCTCAGAGCAGATTTTTCCCTTGTAGTTTTTTGGCATTTGCTGCAGCGGGAGCAGGAACAGGGACAGAAAAATCCATCTGCAGAGCCACGGAGTCTCTCAAACATCCCCTGCCGCTGTGGCCTAGAACAGCATCATCCCACCAATCCTTCCTTCATCCCCTTTTGAGCCTCCCAAAAGGAGCAGCAGGTCCCAAACCCCACATTCCTTCCAACCAGCCTTATTCCTCAAAGGGAAAAATAAGGACCTTTCACTTCCCCTTGACTCCAACAGGCAGTTTCTCCCCTTAAAAACTCCTAAATCCTGCTAACTCAAGAGC